CTGTTTTCACTAATCTTCTCTAGTCATGAATATCCCAGAAAGAAAAGAAGCAATTTTAATTGGGGATCTATGTCAAAAGCAGCAGAAACATGTTTGTGCTTTTACAACAATGTGAATATATAGTTCTTTCCGTCATATTCATCTCCAATAAAAAGACTAATATTATAAGTTCAAGTTAGGAGAATTCATCCAAAATAATAGCTTGTTAAGTATTTTCCTAGATTATAGCCATACTGAATTATTATTTCGATATCGACCCATTTTTCATGATTTTTGGAGCAAAAAATAAGAGTTTTTTTTTAACCATTGTAATGGCAATATGTAAAATCATTGTTAAACTTTAGGAAGAAAAATAAACAAGTAGATAATTATGTATTTTTAAATTAAACATTGTTATGCATATTAATAATGGAAGTCTCAAACTGACTATGATTACTGAATTAGTTAAAATAAAAATAAAAATGATCTAGATTTATAAGTGAAAAATGTTATAACTAAAATGGGCAAAATATCATAATTCATGTCACTTGCATGTAATTTCTCCTGTAGATGTGCACCTCCTTAAATGTATATATTTGGCCCAACCATTGAGCACAAGTCCTTCTTTGTCATTTTTAAAGAAGTTAAAAAGGCAAAAATATTTATGTAACGTTTTTTTTTTTAAGAGCATCAATATCATCAAGCGGAGAAAGATACAAATATACCTTATTTTAATTTAATGAGTGCGGCTGTGCCACAATGGTTGTAGAAGGTAAACGCTTGTTATCCTCTTTTGACAGTTATTGCCACGTGTCACCACTTGTTGCCAAATCAGCCGTTAATTGATTTTTCTTGCCCTTTAACGTGTCCTCCACACCTTCTCTATCCTCTCATTCATCTCCCCCCTGTCCCCGGCTCTCCGCCCATTCCCTTGCCCTCAACGGATGTGCATCGTGTGCAGTGGTAACGGTGAAATAGATGAAAAATAGGCTCATCTTATTTATTCATTTTATCTAATGATTAAAAAGAAAATACGCATAAAAATGTTTTGTTATATGCAAAACACTTAATCTTTTTTAATAAAAAATTACTTCACAATTTAGATTCTAAAAAGTTATTAAAAATTCAATTTATTTTATTTTAAATATTCTGAGGAAATCGTTCCTACTCTACCTGATGAAATTGGATATCGTTCTTCCGCACGTGTCTCTTCCTTAATGTTATACCCACACACACACACCTTTTAACTTTTATTAATAATATTCACTACTTTCCTGAAAAAAAAAAAAACATATTCTTGAAAATCTTTTTTTTTTCCCCTGCTGCCTTATCCTCTTTTGGCACCCTTTTCTAGTTTGATTTCATCGTCTTCCGTTATGTGCTGTAACCTCTTCTATATTTTTCTTTATTTTTTAGGTTTTATTGTTAAAATATAGTATAGGTACCATCTTTGTAAAATATTTAAATTAAATTTTTTATATAATTTTTTAAGATTTAAACTGAGAAGTGAGATATTTTATGTTAAAATAAAAAATAAAAAAGGATTTTTTTCCCCGGAAAAATAGTGAATATTATTAATAAAAGTTAAAAGTAAATATATACAAAACATTAAGGAAGAGACACGTGCAGATGAACGATTTCCAATTGCATTAGATAGAGTGGGAACGATTTCTTCAAAATATTTAAAATATAATGAATTAGTTTTTTTTTAATTTAGTTTGTGAAGTATTTTTTAATTATAGAAAAAGTTTGAGTGCTTTATAAATAATAAAGCTTTTTATGCGCTTATTTTTCACCAACCATTAGATAAAATGAATGGATAAGATGAGCTCACTTCCCATCTTCTTTACCATTATCACTGCACATGAGCATTTGCGTTCGGTGCGTGCTCATTAACTCCCGATCCTTCATTTTAATCTAAATTAATTCCTACTGTTCATTTAAATTAATTTTTAACTATTTTTAATATTATATTTATTAATATAAAAAAACATAATTTTTTTAAATTTTAATAAATTTATTCATTATCAAAACTAATGCAAGTTTAATCTAACAATCTAATTTAATTATAAAAAAATTTATAATTTTACAATTTAACTATTCAAATAAATTTTGAACAGTTTAAATATAATTTAAATAATTTAATTTAATATTAAAAAATTTTACAAATTAACCATTTAAATGTACTTTAAATAATTTAAATTTAATATTAAAATTTTTTATTTTAATAAACATAATATTAAAAATTAACTTAAATAAACAGAAGAGATGAATTTGGTTGAAATGGAGCGTCAGAATTGTTACTAGTGTCGGTGAGCGCCGAATGCATGCGGGCGCCTGCACGTGATCCCCTCAACTATTTCACTCCCCCCATAGGCCACATCGCCGGCGCCATCTTCACTCACCGGCGAAATGTTCACCGTTAGATCCATGGCTGAAGAAGGCGAGTTACCATGACCAGAATTTCGGTGCCACCTTCACTAATTACTTCGATTCCGATCTGGCCCAATTAATTAGTGAGTAGGAAAATTATTCCGATCCCCGTCAGCCAACCCAACTTGGTCTTCTTTTTGTTCTCTTCCTTCGTGCCATAGTGCAGAGTACACTTCAAACACATAACTTGTTCTAAAATGCAGAGTACCCTTAAGATTCAGAGCCAAAAAGTTCCCCGGTTCGGCCCCGTGTGCATGTAACGGTTGTCTAGTTCCGCAGGGGGAGATGCTGAAGAAGCGCTCGGTCAGCAAAGAGATATTGAGGAGGTCTCTGATGCCGCCGCCACGGCGGTTCGGCTTCAAGTCATTGAATATCCAGCCAACTCCGAGCAGGCTCTCTCGGATTTCTACGGCTTAGCCCCTTTTTTTTTCTTTTTCTTTTTAAATTTCTATATCCGGTGAAGTGAAATTAGTCTTGGATTGTTGTACAATTTGAGTTTCAGTATTCACTGAAATTAACTGGATGACCCTCTATTCTTTCTTACCCTTTTCTTAGAATTTTGAAATTGGGTATTTCTTAATCTTGCAGGACCATTTCCCAGGTTTCAGATCTGCTAAATTGTAGTGTATGTTTTTCCCGTTCTCGCCGTTATTCTAGTGCTGGGTTTTAGAGACGAAAAAAAGTAATGATTCAGCTGCACTTCTAGTCTGAGAGAGTTGTTATTGGAAAAGCACATGGTGGCTTCATGGCGTGTAAGGAAATTGAGGAGGAGGAAGATGAAGAGCGGAACAGGGGATAAAACAGGGGGTGGTTCGAGGGAGAGAATGAGAGGACAGAGAAGGTCTATAGGACCCGTAGAAGGGAAATAAAAGTCGATGGCTGATTTCCCAACAATTGGCAAGCGATTACCGTCAAGGAATATTATCGGACGTTTAACTCCTCAACGGATTTTGATACAGTTGTACTCATAAATAAAGTTACACATAATTCTTCTGAATTTTAAATCATACATAAATATGCTTTAATTTTTTAAATTTAATAATAAACTCTTTTCAGCTTTTAAGTTATTGTAAATAATTCCTAACTATTAATTATATATCTCATTAAATTTTATTTTTTATAAATTTAAACCCTCAAACTTTAATTGATATATGAATAATCTTCTTAAATTTTAAATTATATGTAAATAATTAATGTATGAAATTAATCACATAGTTATTTTTTATCTGCATAAATATAAGAGTTGGGGTTCATTGTAAAGTTTTAAAAATTAAAAAAAAATTGTGTATGTATAATTTAAAGTTTAAAGAATCATGTATAACCTAACCTTAAATAAACGTTAGGATCACTCTTGTATCTTCCTCCACTTAATGATAGTGCCTCTAAAAATTTCATAATTATTTTTACCCCTTATCTTTTTTTTTCAAAGTTTAAGTATATTACTCTTTTCCATTATATTTATAAGTTATTTTTAATATATTTTACAAAACTAAATAAAATCTTAAACCAATTATATTTAAAAATTTAATAAGTTTGTAATTTGATCCTATTATATATATAGATATATATATGTTAATAATGTATTTTCTCTCCAATATTGAATGGAAGATAAAAAAAAAGAAAGAAATTTGTAATAAAAAATTAATAACATACTCATTCAATCTTATTTATAGGGCAAAAAGATAATGATATTTTTTGTTTCATTTATAAGTTACAGAATTAAATTTTCTTCACAAACTTCCCTTCTTATCCTTCAATAAGAGAGAAAATATATTATTAAATTATATATATTTATAGGGATAAAATTGATAATTTATTAAATTTTTTAGATAGAGTTAATAATATTTAAAATTTTTTTGATATCAATAAAATATTAAAATATATTAAAAATGATTTGTAAATAGCATGTGGTTTTAAAATAGTATTAGATGGCGGAGTAATTGATATTTATAATCATCTCATAAATTTTGGGAGGCTGATGACGCCAACGTTTGCAGCTTGCGGGTTGCAGCAGATTCAATTGAATCACTCAACACAATAACTCAGCAATCATCATTCAGATTTTCATACTGTGGATCAAATGAACTTTTTATGGTGTGTTTGGTAAGAGAAGTGGAGAAGAGAGGTTTGATGTTACCTCAAAGTAGGAGGAGAAGAGAGAACAAAAAATTATATATAATTTTATCTTCATTTTTTTAATATTGAAATATTGAAAAAGTGTATATGTATTTTTTAACCTAATCACCATGATCATATTGGTCAAGGTATGAAAAATTTATCCCTCCTTTTTCAATTCGTTCAATTTGATAAAAAAATGTTTGGAAGGGGGGAGATTTAAAAAAAAAAAAATCTCCCCTCTCTTTTAATTTTTCAAATCAAATAAGGGGAGGGGGGCAGATTCTCTCCCCTCCCGTCTAACCAAACATGCTGTGAAGAAAACATTGGGCCAAAATATGCATGTAGCACAGGCTACCATTTTGGGTCAATGACTTATTGGGCTTTTAGTGTGCCTCTCTGCAGGCCCGTGTGACCTCGAGCCATAAAGTAAAATGACACGTGACACTGGTTGTTTCTGAAGACGACACGAGTTTCCTTCTGGAACCTCTTTGTAACCGCCACAACGGCGGAACTTCATTCTCTCCTGAACAAGTCATCATCGCATTTTCGGTTTCACACCGAGGCAGGTCAGGAAATGGAGAACAGAGCACGCCTTCGAGTTCACAAGACCAAAGGTTTCAAGAGCGGGAAGAAAAAGCATTTGGTGAAAAGGGTCGTTGATTACCTCAAATCCGATACTTTCCTGTATGCTCCTCTGCTCTCTAGTGTGCCCCCTGATTTTCGCTCGCTTGATACTCTCCATTCCTCTGATAGAGGTTGGTTTATTACATAAAGCTCTTTCTTTTATACTTGATTAGGGTTGGGCTTTGGTTTAATATAACGTGTTTTTTTTTTTTTTTTTTTTTCAAATGAGACAGTAGTCGAATTTAAAAAACCCGTCATAGAAAACAAGCCGTTTCTGGAGGAGCTTGGGGATTATGTGAGATCTGATGTTTTTATGTATGCTCCTATAGCTGGTCCTCCTCCTTCGCTTCAAGGTATGCTTGTTTCTTCCTATTTATGCATACACTTGCAGAATATCTTGGTTGGCTAAAGCTGGTGACACATTTTCTGCTGCTCTGAAGTTATATAGTTATTAGCTTCGTGTAACATGACCTTTTTAGTTCTTAGTTTTTATTATAACTGTGGCTTTTCTTGGTAACTGCTTCTCGAATTTTATGTCCGAATAGCGCTTGGGCTCGTTGGCTCACTAAGTCTCTTCATCCATTATCTTATAGCTACTTCTTATTCTTGTTTTTTTTTTAAATAGTGTTCTCTTTTTCCCCCCTTAATTTGAAGATTACTGCAATGTTGGATAAGTCACCCGTTGAATCTTGAGAAAATAGTAAGTTACGGTTGTCTGTATGACTATTATTCCCCCTACTATTTAAACTAACATTCACTCCCCGTTGCATGGGAGTGAACACTTATACTATTTATCTTCCTTGCATTTGAGTAAGATAATGAAGTAGCAAAATTATTCGTTGCTTATAAATGCCTCACATTGATGGCAATGAGACATATTAATGACACATAATACATTGTTCAAGAACAAACTCTAATTGACTAAAATACTAAACATCTATTACTGTACCCAATAAGCTCACTGAAATTGAAGTTGGACCAGTTCATGACGCTTGTGAATTTCGAAAAATCTCATGGTAAACTACATTGGTTGTTGTCGTTTTACAATGATTGTTACTGTCGTGCAGAAGTATCTTCAACCCATCAATTGATCTCACTCTTGATAAAGTGACATAGAGTTGACCATGAGTGAAAACTGGCCTTGACAAATACAATCCAATGTACTGTAGAGATTGACCTTGACTCTTATTAATAGTCATGGCAAAAGACAATATAATAAGGAATTGTCTTCTCTGCATACAGAATGGCCATTTACTCTCTGAAAGATTCATGTCCATTCTATGGATCAAAACCTTTTGATCAGGCCTTGAACCATTCAATGTTATGGGCTCAATCACTGTTTTCCCAAGTCTTGTGATTCTAAGTCGTGTGCCATTGCACAAACCCGCAGCTTGGTGAATGTTATGCAGTAGCATTATTGGGGCACCAACTTTTAGAACCAACTTGTGTGGTGGAAGTCTAGAGCAAGTTATTGTGTTCAAGAATTCTGTACTGTAGATATTATCAAATGAATCATTGTTTCTTCTTGATTTGCAAACTGAGTCACAACTGTAGTATTCAATTAAATCTCCTTCTAGCAATGAACACATGTATTCATTAATTTGATCAACAACTTCACTTGTAGGTGCAAGGATTGCTCTATCATTTTAATATCTGCTATTTGTAATGTTTGATAATATATCTTGATAAATTTCATTAACAATGGCATGCAAAGGATCTTTGAATTTTGTGATCAATAAGTTTGAAGGGATTTCAATCTTTGCAATTCCATCATGAGATTCACCTAACTTCCCGTCCCCAACATCTAGAAGCCATTGTGAGAATTTAGACAAGGCAAGATCTTGATTATCACCAAATGTAGCTTGTAATCGTAAATTCTATGTCAGATGGAAGATTTTACAGTATTCCCATAGGTACGATGAACTGATACATGCATTAACGATACTTGCTCTTGTTCCTTTGGGTATCACTCGAAGGATTTGACGAAAATCACGAAATGCACTTACCACCAAATGGTTGTTTGCAATGCATAATATCCTTCAATGTTCTATCAAATGCTTCAATGCAAAATCTTTGAGCCATTGGAGCTTCATCCCATATAATTAATTTTGTGCATATAAGTAAATCAGAAAATGAACTTCCTTGCTTCACATTGCAAAATGAATCTTCAAATATTGGTAGAAAATAGTTAAGGCTTGTTTGTCTGAGTGTAGAAATCTTCAAAAGACGGATTTTAGGCCTTGGTAATAGATGCCCTGCAACTTGCTTCTTGCTGCTAATGACCTTTCCTATTTATAAATATAGGAGAATCCTAACTTCATAAGGATTAAATGGACCTCAAAATCCTAGTTTTCCTACAGATAAATTTGAAAAAGATAACATCGAAAATCTGTTGAATATCTATAAAATATATTAATTTTATTATCAAAATTTCATCAATTTAAGTGCATAATATATATTTACCACAACTCTGTAAAGATCTTTAGCATCTTGGTCAACAGAATAAGCCCACTAAGCTCTTGTGATGGTCCAACAATATTTGCAGGTACAGTTGTCTTTTATAGATCTCAATTAAAGTTAAAAGGAAAGTGCATCAAGCATCGTTTTATTCTACCAATCAGTCTAGTAGGAAATATAGAGAATGAGTCATCTAGCACTGGCAGAACTGTTTTACCATCAGTTTTGTAATTATTGTGGAGATGGAGAAAGACAATCCACAATTGCATTTTTCCAGCATTCGGAATTATGTTTTAGTCTTTTTTTTCTAACTTATCCATTGAAAGGTGACTGTGTAACGGGGGCAGATGTCTGGTTGCCCTGTAGCTAGATGCTAAAGTTGGGGAAACCCTTCTGTGCTCATTTGCTCCGCTAATTTTGTCCCTTAAGTGGAATAGGCTAGGTCTTCACATTCATATGAAATATTTTGTTCCTTTCTTTGATAGGAAATTCAAATTAGTCAACTTTTTTTAACTTTTGATGCCCAGGAGTATTTTTCCTTAAACCCTTATTTGCATAATGAGAACATTCAACTATCAGCGCTTTTTGTTTTTATTTCAAGTTTCAACCGTTAATGACATGTCAATGAATGTCCGTCCCATTAATAATTTAACTAGAGAACAAAAAGCAGAAGGTATTGTGATTGGTGAACTCAAACAGGTCTATCGCCTCTAGGGTGACATTCTCTATGCATCTCCATCTATTTACTTATAAATTGAATATTTGTGGGGATTTCTTGCCTTGTAATTGTTTTTTAAGGACGATGATTATTGACTGTCATCCTATAACTTCCTTCTCCTCCTCTTTAATACTTCTAAATCAGTTTATTCTATGCCAATGGAAGAACCAGGGAGGAATTATTTAAAATTGGACATCAAGACAGGACATAGATTGACATATTAGAAATAACCATCTTTTTGTAGTATAATTATATTTCTCAATTACTTATGAGCTACTATCTTGCAACTAAATGTGAAAAATAAGTAGAGCAATTATCAAAAAATGTCTGGCAACTAAGAAAAATAAGAAAGGGGTGCTTCTAATCATTTATAACCATGACACTAGCTTTTGGAGACCTACCTAGGACAATCGGACAAGGTTTTAAAAAAAAAAAAAAAACAGGTGTGTGAGATTTTAATTTTGTTGGCTGCTGTGCCTGATCATTGATGTCTCTCCAGTCTCTTGGTCTCATCAAAATTTTACACTGTTTGATAGTTTATTTGGATGGTTTTTCGTCCAAGTGTTTGGAGTGTGCTGGATGGAAACTTATACTGGAGAGAGCAGGACCTAAACAGACGTACGAGGATGAAAGTTTTGGCTGGAATGATTTAGAGATGAATCCTTGAACTGGGAAGGCTAAGACCTAGGCTTGAGAGTTTTATTTTTATTATTTTTTCCCTGACTTAAGGTAAGTTTGTTTACTCACATTTTGGGCATCAGAAACACTGTTGCCTTAGCTCACTTCTTCTGAAGTTATGCTATTCCTTGGAGATTTATAGAACATTGTCTTGTCTGTCAACGAAAGTTAAAGAGAGCATTTTTTTTTTTTGCTACACTTCATAATTTCATATATAGATAGTTACAATTACAATAGTTTTGAGGATATGTTAATGTTAGCCAATGGATTATAATGCTCTAAAACTTTTTTTTAAATGATATATCTATATGTATATATGTTCTTATTATGCTCATAAAGTTTAACCCCGTTCATTTCCTCATTGCTTGAATTGTGACTTCTGGGTGATTAAACTAGTTCTTAATTTTTTGTTATTCTTACGAGTACAGAATCTTTGCTTTACTCTGAAAGGATAAGGATGTCTGTATCAACGACAAGATTGACTATGAAAGTGAATCAACCAGCTGATCATTTAGGAAATGCAAATGAAAGGTCTGAAAATTATCTTCCTCGATCAGGCCCCTCTGATCAGCATTCTCAAGGGCATGCAGAAACTGTCAAGCACCCTGTATACCAAACTTGTCACTTGAATTCTGCTCCAGGTACTTGTTGGTTCATTTAACCATTCATTTCCTTACTTATGAGGGACCAATCTACTGCCACTGGATATTGACTTTGTTATTCAAGTCTATGAGCTTCCCAGATACGTTAATCAAAAGTTCTGTGCCAGCTTGACAGAGCATTAGACATGAGAGAAAATTTTGAAGCAAAAACCTTATTGTAGGCTTATTTTGATGATAACTTTAAGGCATGGAAATTGAAGGGTCTTCTGATTTGGAAAAGCTTGTATTTTGGCTTGCCAGGTTGTGTCACGTATTTTCTAAAAGCTGTGGTGTTTGTATTTTCTCTCAGCACAGCAAAGTTGCAGTATGGTTTGCCTTTGAAGCTATTGTATGAAAATGAAATCCGGATACAAACATGTGGTTCTTTTGTGCTGCAGGGAATGTCACTCTCAACTCACATTTAACAGCTCGCTGTTGATTGGAGCTTTAGGATGTGAAAAACGTAAAAGCTATTTCTCCTTTGAGTTGGACAAATGACGTAGTATTATATGTATAATTGTTAGTCATGACTTCCCTTCACTAGCTAGTAGCTACTCATACGGTTGAGTTATTTCATTCGGTAGTTTGAACGTCTCCTCAAAGCTATGCGTGACGCCGTGACCTGTTATGTCAACATGTAGCCATTTCTGTGTTTGCATTGGTGAAATTAGATGAACTTGGCTTGTTATGCTCAAGTTGTTTTCTAAATGATTAGACTGGGCACGCTGAAATGGATTGGGTGAAGCTCTCATGATAATTGGGAGACATGGTACTTTCTTTGAACAGTTCAAGCAGGTGGGTGTTTGTAATTTGTACAATAGTCAAAGTATTAGTTGGAATTGGAGATGGGCGGCATGACATAACATATACCAAACCAGGGAGTATCGCTTGTCATGGATGAATCCTGTTTCTAATAGTTAGTCTGGTTTTTAATTCGTCATTGACAAATAATTTGATTCTCTGGAGCCATAAACGTTACTGATTATTGCAGATTTAAGGAGATAATAATTGTGAGGAGTAGAAGTGAGTTTCACATGCATCAGTATTTCCATGTGTCTGCCTGCTTGCAAATATATTGATTGTGAGTGACAAGTATAGAAACCCAATTCAAATTGTGTTTGGAACCTTGGTTATGTATAATTCAAAGCTGAATAAATGTGAAGAGAGTACAGGAAAGTGAAGGACATGGAAGTCCTGCAATGGATGGATGTAGCATGATTTTTGAAACAATGGATGCTCCTCACCCACCCCCCAGAAATGGCGGGGAATGCAAATGGGAGAGTGTAGTCAGTGTCATTACAGTTTGCAAGCCATGAAGAGGCATCATGACGATGAAGAAGTGAAAAGAGAGGTCATTGTCAGGAGTGAGGGGCTTTACAACTACAACAGCCGAGGATCTCTCCTACCGATACTCTCACTTCCCATGTCTCCCATTTCTCAAGGCTTTGCAGGCATATCTTGTGATTATTGAAACCAAGGGTTTCGGCCAAAAAAAAAAAAAAGGGTTAAAAGAGATGAGCCTTCTATGAATATCTGCTCGGTGTGTATGGAAGGAAAGAGAGCATTGCATGCTCTGGTCTTATTAAGGTAAAAAGAAAAGATTTTTTTTGTCCTTATACCTACATTAAATTAAATATTAGTAAGGAAAAGAATCTTGTTAATAAGAGGGTACTCTTTCTAATCTTATTTATAAGGAAGAAGTTTTTTTTAATTCAATTTATAAGTCATATTAATAAATTTTCGTCACAAATTTTTTTTTACCCTCTACTAAATACTAAAGAGAAAAAATATATTGTTAAAATATGTAAATTTAATAAGGTTGGAGTTATTAAGTTTTAAAATTTTTTTATATCAGTGAAATATATTAAAAGTAATTCATAAATAGAATTAGATGAAAACTTATAAATAATTAAAAAATAATAAATTTAATAAGGATAAATTGAATTTTTTTTCTATTTTAAACATCAATAAGTTAACTTTTTTTGATTTTAATAAATAATTAAAAGTAATTTATAAATATCACGATAGAGTACATTTGATAAAACGAAAGTTAAAATTTTATTGAATTTTTAATTAAGATAAGATTAATGAGTTTTGATTTTTTTTAATTTTAATAAAATATATTAAAAAATAATATATAAATCCAGCTAGAGAAAAAGTGATGATTAGCATTGGTTGCGGAAGGATGAATTGAAAGAGGCGTACTATGTGTTTGCCAATGCACGTGTGTCGCATTTAATTCCCCCCTAACTCCCTATATGCCTACCCCTTCCTATCTTCCTATCCTCTATTTATGAAACTTTTATGTAATTTAATTTTCACAAAACAAAAATAATTTTGATTTGGAAGTGAGATGAAAAGTAAACTTGAATATGTACGAACGGCTATCTTTATGACATCTATCCCTCTCAGGCTTTTAATGGGAAAGTAATATCCTAAAGAGACCCGAGTCCAATTGTTGCACTCCTAAACCAAGCATTGTACTGCCACAAGAAGCATTCAATTAAAGGAAAATGAGGAGGATTCGGTGCAGGACTCGGAAACATTTGAACACAATTTATAAATAATAAATCAAGCCTACAGATTGATTGGTGATGACGAAATTAAAATCTGGCAACGTATATAGAAGAGAGCTGCCAGATGTTGTTTGGTTGAAAATGGTTGAACAGGGAAGTAGAATTGAGATGATAGAAGGGCTAATAATAGGAGAAATAATAGAGGATCCGGAACATCAATCTTAATCCGGGCTAGGCTGGTTTTTTTGGCCAGTTTCAGAATAGGAAAAGACCTCATGCGTCGTCATACACAAATCACAGATCAGCAGCACAGAAAAAGTCAAGCAATTCACGGCCTCTCTCTCTCTCTCTCTCTCAGACTCTGCACTCTACACGCTACTGATTGAATCAATGATTTTTGCAACACTGTTTCTTGAATGAGTTGTCGTGGCTGTGTATGCGTGAAGGATATATGAGAGCCCTAATATAGCTGCTAGTTTTTCGAGTTGAAAATCGCGTGCATGATGGGCATCTCCATTGGGTTTTAGAGGTACCTTGTCCTTTTAACTGGACGTTGTCAGAACTCAGAAATGAACCCCCCAAGTTTCATCACCTCTTGACAAGAAGCATGGCCGTCCGCATCTTTGAACAATGGACTATTGTCTTCATCATTGTACGACCACAACTCTATTCATTTCAGGGATTATCAACCTAAATTATTGCCTATTCACTGTTCAAAATTAGAAATATGTATTTGTTAGAAAAAGAGTAAATTTTTATCAAATTTTTTTAATAAGAACAGTAAAGTTGTTATCAATCGCAGCGAGTATATCTTAATGTATTTATATTTTTGTTTATAATACATGATATTGGATACCGTCAAATTATATTCAATTAGTGTCTGATTTAAATAGATATATAGTAGTTTTCCCAAAAACATCTTTTATGTTCATAACTTTGATAGACATTACAAGTTCACCCAAGTTTCATCTTGACCATTTTATAGATAATTCACTTGAGCTTGGATTCATAAGTAGTGATGACAATTATCTTATAAGTACTCTTTTTTTCAAATCATCAGCGGATTGATTTGGACATGAACTTAGATTTTCATCGAAAACTTCATCTTGATTTGTAAACAAATCATCCGATCGAATTTATTAGGTTCAGAAGTTGATGGAGTTAATCAACAAATTGGCTGTTTATGAATAAGACTCATTTGACTTTGGCTTATCTGGTGAGGAAAAACTAGGAAAACACATATGATAATTGAAAAAAGAAGGCACAGTTGAGAAACAAAAAGTTACCGACAGAAGCAATAAATGAAATATTTGAAATGGCTATTGCAAGACAACTGTTTTGAAGCAAAGGATAAGCAATCTATTAAGATTTAGCCATCTGTCAGCTGCTGCGGCACACACATATAGACGTTCGTAAGAGAGAAAACTGAGTGCGGGCAAGGCATTTTGCCTTATATATATGAATTGTTAGGCCTGGTGGGTCCAATGGAATTAAATAACAATAAATATTATTGAAGACCTATTCGTGTGCGTGCGTGTGTGTGTGGAAGAATGAATACGAGTGTCGTTTGCTGTAGCTGCAGGTAGAACCAAAAACAAGAAGAAAGGATCGAAGAAGGTGATGATCTGTATATGTATCTGTGTATCGATGTATCTACCCATTTCCCTGTTTTGCAGCAATTGGCTCAAAAGGCCAAAGGAACGCAGGAGACACACGCACGAGCGTTGCTTTGATGGCGACTTTTGCATACGCCACAATCAATTCCATTAGCCCACCTTCCATAAACCACTTTCGTTTCACTTTCCTTAACAACCATTTTGCTTCTCTTACGTCCATTTAATATCTTCCAAAATTTAATTCCCATGCTTTTCTTTCCTGAGTGATTCATCTGTGCACAGTATACATAAAGTTCATTATCTTAGACAGATCAGATCATGTTTATATCATAGGTTAAAAATATATATCATCAGGTAAAAACGAAACTTGCTGTAATGCAATAATGTAAACAATTATTATAGCGCGAGGGTGGTCCATGCATATTCTGACTAGCTTCTTCATTTGAAGAGACGTTTCGAGTTTTGCATTATGTGTTGTGAAGTTTGTGTGTTGAGAGAAGGTGTGGTTATTATAATTGAAGGTGGGTTCCATTTAACTATATCTCCAAAATAATTTCAAATCTTCTGTTTAGTGTATAATAAGCCTAGTGCTACATTTATCCTTTTTAATTAAAAAAGCTTGATTGTCGTTTCCTATTCCTCTTCCCAAATTCTCAGCATATGTCTCTCCTGTCTTGTCAAATTTCACCGAACATAATATATAGACACATATAAAGAAAGATATAATTATTAATCTTTATATTTAGCATGTTTTGATAATAGTATTTATGCTTTTTGTTCATTGTTTCTAGTCCCTTACGTTTTATTTGTCTACAGAGTTAGTACTTATCATTACTGACAGAATAAGATCTACTGATACTAAGTTGGTAAAATTGCCATGAGTTGGATATCATATGAGTAAAATTGGCTACTAATTAACATTCTTGCCTCTTTGTCCTAGCCCTTGTATTTTCTTCCTTCTAAAGCTTCACCCATCACAAGTTTAAGGATTCTATTTTAATGTCATGTTTTTTTTTTTTGCCTTCTACTCATTTTTATACAAACTCATCATAATTTTAACAAGTCAGCATGTAATGCAACGGAGTTTACACTATTGTAACTAGGACTTTCTACGTCACTTGTGGAAGGTTGTTTATGCCATTATTGGGGAAAAATATAAGAATTAATGTCAAAACACAAAAATTATAAAAACCAACAGTTATATTTTCTCTTTAATCAAAGCTAAAAGAAATATGGATGATTAAAATATAAACTTGTCTAAACTCAAATGCAATGGAGGGAAAAATTTGGTGTGGGGACAGATTTCCACGATCTTTTTTTCATCCAATCTATAAACCGCTTTTGTTAAACATATATATCTTCTCATTATGCAAACTGTAAAGTTGGTGTGAGAGCATTATTACTCAACTATGATGGTTTGTTTCAGAAGATAAATGAGCAGCAATATTAGCTAGCTAGATTCCGGGGTGATATGAGTGCATATATATCCACCACAAACCAAACAACTGTTGGAAAAGGACACATCTCTATATTCTCTCTATCAACGTATGAGAGATTGCAATTATTTGTGAGAGAT